TAAGGGCAGCAGATAACACCTACTGTCAGAGGGAGAGGAGGAGGTGAGAGGTAAAGTCAGAGGTTGAATGTGCTGAGTAGAAAATAGAAAAAGAAGAAGAAGGAGGAGGGAGAGAAGGGATGGATGGGGAGAGAATGGTGCAGAGGGTGAGCAAGAAGGCGATGAACATGATTGGGAACTAGCATGCTGCTTATTGCATGCCATCAAGAATAAAGTCAGCAACTAGGGTGCGCTAGCTGTGTGAGTGCACACGTGTATGTGTGCACTGCAGAAAAAGTTATTGAGCAATACCAGCACAGACGGAGCTAGCTAAATTACATCTCCAAAAAGACAAAAGATTACACATGCTGCTAGACACACTTGCAAATACACACTTTCTCCACATTTAGATGTACAAAAAAATCATGTGTGCACACATGCATGCTTTCAGACAAACACACACATTAACACTCATTTACATTGACTACTGTCTGGATGACAGAAGGAGTCCAAGAGTACAGACGGTCCGTGGGTGAGATGACGCACAAGCGCACACATGCTCGAACACATAAATCTAAATATACACATGTACAAAGCCTGTTTCTCAGAATTGTCACATAACTGTCAGTAGAGTGATGGAGAGTAAAACTGATTCTGTGTGTGTGTGTGCGCGCCACAGCTTCTGAAGGTGTTGATTGGAGAACGTGTGTGTGTGTTGGCATGTGAATATGTATCTGAGTTTTTCTTTCCATCCCTCCAGGTATTTATTATTCACCTCCTGCCCTCTCTCTTGTTTGTTGTCCCTGTGCTAAATCAAGTAAAGAATTGCATCTCGAACACAGTCACCATACTAGAATTAATTTACACCTGTAGCTCAATAAACTGCTGAAAATGTGAAAAGTAGTGCTACACTAGTACTGGTTCTACATGCTGAAGATTAAAGGAGAAATGGGGCAAAAATATGTTGTGAGAGTCATTAGTGTGAGGGTCATTTCCATGCAGAGGAGAAAGAGGACATGAGGACAGACCTGAAAGAGGAGGAGAGGAAATATCTGGTGTGAATGAGGGTCATTATGAATTATGGTGTTTGTGTGCACATAATGAGACGCCATCAAACTAATATTTTGTTTCAGCAATTAGTCATAATTAGTAACTGTATGCATGTCTCACACAATCTCTTGTACAGTATATTAGAAGTGAATTTGAAGGTGAGTACATCAGATCTGATCCTTTGTGTGTGTGTGCTTTGTAGTGCCATCATTTGCTTTGTGTGCTGTGCGTTTAATGTACATTGTCGTTGTCCCTAACGTTTTGTGGGTAGTATAATTTTAACACAATACATCCGTTTTTGTTCCAAGTGTTGTAACCACTGTTGGGCGTACTGTAGTTGGCAGCAGAAAAACATTTGTTCTCAGAGGTCTTATTACTTCTCCATCATTTGACTTCAGCAGAATTTCCATCCCAGCTTTTATCAAAAATAACTCTTGAGTTTTTAGGTATATGAAGATAACATTCAACTTTATGTTGTCGCAGTTTAATCTGTGATACATTGTAATGAGAAATGCATGTCCTTAATTAATAAACAAAGTCATATTTAAAGGGCCAGTTCACCAAATGACAAACACCACATTTGCTTTTTTGCTGGTTTTTGTTTTGGTGCCTAGTGAATGGAATTTTTGTTTGTGCACTCATTCTTAAAAATGTCATTTAAAAATTATCATTATTATCATTATTACTGATAATTCTCTGAATGATCCACAAACCTCAGTAAATCAGCTTTTCATGGACCCACATTCTATGGAGCTGTTCGTTTTTTTTTTGTTTTTTTTAAAGTAAATTTAGGGGAAATTCTGTAATCGCTTATAAATGCAACGCAACTGACCCCAAATGTTTCAAAACCTTATCTCCTTATCCTACATTGTCATTATTTTCAGTCTCTATGGGTGGTGTCTGTGTTGTTCCTTCATGTATCAGACACTCATTAAAGCAAATACACCATTTAGGATTTAGTTTTAAAAGCTGTTGGATGGAAACACAACCACTGTCTTTGGCCAATTTAGCCAGGACTGCCTAGTAGAATAAATGCTATTTGTTTTTTCCTAACTCCAGTGCCAGTATCTGGGTAATGTAATTTCACAGTGTGTTTTTGTAGTCCTAACATACTACATTGCTTTCCTGCCATCCCTGTAGTTTGCACGGTTCGCTGTCAGAAGTTCCTGATCTCGCGTGTCGGGGAGGATTGGATCTTTCTCGTGCTGCTGGGACTTGTCATGGCCATGGTCAGCTGGGTGATGGACTTCTGCATCGCCATCTGCCTGCAAGGTAAGTCAAGGAGGGAAACGTTTCTTATAGCTTAAAATTTTACACACCTTAAACATACATTAAACAAACAGTTTACCTAAATTTATGTTGTAAAATGGCAAAATAATGAAGAAACTCGTACATGTATGGTTTTGGATGCGAGTGAATTTGAGCAGGTCAGCCCAAACTTTTCTCAGACACAGTATGTTTCTACTTAAACTATATTCCTTATGTATTCTCATAAAGAATATGTATTATTAAAAATGACAGAGGAGGACCTCTGCCGTCCCCCTAAACCATCTTAAAGCTCAGTTTTTGTTTTTATCATACCAGCTCTTTAGAGTTCACGGGTGCACACAACAACAAATACTTTTTGGGCGGCTACTTTATCAGAAATGCAGCAGAAGAGCCGCAAGTGTATCTGTTTACAGCAGTGCCAAAAGAAATCTCATCTTGGTTAAACTGCTTACTGGGCTTTATCGAAACATCTGCAGTTAAATGGGGTATTTTCAAATTATCTGGCCCAGCAGGAGCTTGTAAATAGAAAAAGATAGTACTGAGGATTAAGCTCAGGGGACAAGCATTGGAAAATAATGCAGAAGAAAACAATGGTGACTAAAGAAATTCAAAGGGGGAGAAGGAACGAAGGCTAGAGGACAGAGAAGACAGGAGAATTGAAGTTAGACAAACAAGTGAAAGATAAAGATAAAGGAAGCGGAGAGGGACTGAAAAAGAGATTGAAGGTGGATCAAAGGATGCTGGGAGGGATGGATTGAAGGCCTCTTAAGCCGTCAGTCATCTACCTGCGAGGTGGAAATAGGAGGAGAAGACGTGAACGAGGGATTTAATAGTAAGTCAATTCTACATTCTGGGAAGAGGAAGGCGGACCTAAGACAAGTGGAGGAAGTTGTGAGAGCTGATGTGAAACCTTAGATGAGTGGCTCTAATTGGATATATCAAAATGGATATCTCAGGCATTGTGTGTGTGTGTGTGTGTGTGTGTGTGTGTGTGTGTGTGTGTGTGTGTGTGAGAGAGAGAGACTTCTGTACTGTGCTCTCAAGGAGAAGTTAACCTAGTCTTGTCAGTTTCATTTATAGTGTACAGTTCTTTTAATTGGATACAGAACATGATGAACCACCTGTCCTGAGGGGAGACGTACACCTACACACATTTCGTTTTTTTTTTTATGGTGTAATGACAGCTCATGCGTGTGTGTGCATTATATTTTGTCCTCATGACATCTTAACTGTAATTATAACTTTATTTTTTGAAAGATCTACAAAGCTTTTGCTTGTGGAGTATACATTATATATCCATACTTGACATACGTGCATGTATGAGGGGCCGTTTAGGCCATGATTCATTATTGACCTCTCATGAATACACTCACCAGTCACTTTATTAGCTACAGCTGTACGATTGTGTGCAATTCAGCACAACACTTTCTCCTTAACATCTGTGTTTATGAATTGCAAAATGTTTCAGTTTTTGGTGAAACTGTCATAAATATATAAATTCAATTATATGTTTATTGTTGAGGTCTTAGTTAAAAGTGGTCTTGTACTGGACAAGATTATATTCAAAGGGGTTTCTAATATCCTGACCCTCTCATGTATGTAGCTGGGGAGGACGAAAATATAGGGGCACTTCCTGAATGCGGTGTAGTCCCGTAGAACACCACCTTTAACTATGACCTCAATAAGATCAAAGATTTGTATTGTCAATTCACTATATGTGCAGGAATGGACAGCATTCAGCATCCTCACAGCCTGGAGGATGAAGCTGTTTATAAGTGTGGTGGAGTGGGCCTGGAGACTCCCATACCTTCTCCCTGAAGGCAGGAGTCTGAAGTGGGAGTGTGCGGGGTGTATAGTCAAATTTATACATTTATGACAATGTCACCAAAAACTGAAACACTTTGAGTTTCATAAACACAGATGTTAAGGCAGAAGTGTACCTAATAAAGCAGCCAGTGAGTGTATATTCAACAGACTCTTTCCTTCTTACTGTGTGTTTTGTGTGTGTCTTTTATACTTTAGTTTGTGGTTTACACGTTTCCACTGGCTTTGTGTGTGTCCACAGCACAGAAATGGATGTACGGGGGTCTGGACAGTAATGTGTTGCTGCAGTATCTGGCCTGGGTCACCTACCCTGTTGTCCTCATCACCTTCTCTGCTGGCTTCACCCAGATCCTCGCCCCACAGGCCGTTGGTACGGCTCACAAAGAAACGGAACACACAGAGACAAATATATAAGTCATAGACAGTTAAAAATGGAAATATACTCACATTGAACTACATTTTATTCTGTATATGACATTAGTCTTTAACAATAAGTTGGTTGTATTGACAGAAAATTAATGAAGGTTTGGTGATGGTGTGCTTTCAAGGGCAATACAAATGTGAAAATGAAATACAAATTATTTAAAGCCTCTGCTGATTGTTTTTCACTGGCACAGTGACTTTTGGTTCAGTTGATACACTGTGCAGAAACCTCCCTTTTGTTTTTCTTCTTCTGAATACCACCAGACTGATAGTGCTGGCCTGTGCGCTAGTGAACCTGTGTGTAAACGATAGTTACTACAGTGTCACACACTGTAAATCTCCTCTGTGCCGCTTTAGCCTCGGCCCCTAATGGTTCAGCTTCTTTCCTGGGGGCCTCCTCTCCTTCAGTGTCAGATGAGAGGAGGAGAAATGCTCTACACATGCTGTTCACAGTTCAGAACTGTATTGTACTCTGAACTTCAGGCTAAGTTTGTCTGAATTCAGCACTGTGCACAAGTGCCTGAAGTAATTTCTGCAGCTGGTATAGCAGAGACTTTACTGTCACTCTCGGTAGTGGAAGCTAAAGAGATGAGTGTGCACCTGGGAAACTGAAATAACTTCTCTCACTCATCACCTCACTGAATCATTGTTTTAAAACTCTGGTAGATGGGACAGTTTATTTTTTTCTTTCTGCTAAACTTGCTGTCAGCAGCTTCATATTTACCACACAGACACGAGAGTGCACCAGTCTTTTCATCTACCAAAAATGTGTATTGCCCAAATTGTTGAAATATTGCTTTAAGGCATCAGTAATAGTGCTTATGGTGAAGGTGGTGTTCATCCACTTAAAGGTCAGATGCTTACTGTGTTTAGTTAAAGTTGACAATCAGCTTTAAGTAACTGCTGGGCTCCCCTACAGGTTCAGGTATTCCAGAGATGAAGACCATCCTGAGAGGTGTGGTGCTGAAGGAGTATCTCACTTTCAAAACTTTTGTGGCCAAAGTCATCGGCCTCACCTGCGCTTTGGGCAGCGGCATGCCCCTGGGAAAGGAGGTAACGTACATGCACCCACAAATCAGCACCACTAGTTTGTGTGTTGACATAGGTCAGTTTTGTGCACATTGAATGGAACTGCCCTACTGAATGGGAAGACCCACACACATACGTATGTTCTTATGTTGTGTATATATGTGCCTGTCAGTTTGGGTCTCTCTTATTGTCATCACTGACTTTGTGAAAACAAAATCTATTTTCAACTTTCTTCTTTATACAATATCCAGAATTCCAGCATAGGTGCTGACCCAACAGTGATGTTTGCTAACACAGCTTCAGTGATTCATAGTTTTCAGTCTGTTTGTAATAAAATACAGAATCCAGACTGGCACCAAGCTGTCTTCAGGTTTAAATGCCAGCGCACACCACATCTAAAACAAACCTTCAGTGTCAGAGCAGAGCGGCAGCTGTCTCAAGCTTCACTGTAAATCGTTATCAGTCATCTAAACCCAATGTTGGTCAAAGTGAAGTGTGCCAAGCTGGTAAAACTTAGTGTAAGTCCAAATGTGCAGCAGTTGTGCATGCCTGCATTCATACAGAACTAATATGCTACACTAGAGGTTCTCAGGGACACATCACCCACCCAAATTACACTTGATTCATGAATGGTGCACAGGGGGCTGATAAGCCTGGGTTCAGGTTGAGAGCAATGGGTTTGAAGTCAGGAGAAGACAAAAAAAAAACAAAAAAAAACAGAAGATGCAGAGTTGACCTGGGACTTTTTCTGTGCCCCCTGGGAGCATAAGGATGTTGTTCTGGGCATTCTGGTACCAACAAAAACACACTCTGCATGTGTTGTTTATGTCTTGTGGACTAGTTTGTGTTTACAATGTAAATTCCTCAGTTTTTTAGCAGCAGCAGTTTCAGGTATGTATGGCTTCCCCTAAAAGACTGCCCAGCCTGAAGACATAATCTCAGGAAGATATATTTTCTCCTCTCTCACACACCCACAGAGACACACACGAGCCTCCGGCTCTTCTGCTTACGCACTCCCACAGTTTGGATTCAACACACTCACATCCTTTAACTTGAGCATCACTTTTCTGATGCACTCACTTTTAATCCTGTTAGTTCCACTTTGAACTTCATCCTCTGAATCTTAATATTCACTGCAGACATTGTTGTTACTGTGTTTTCAAAGAGTTTTTAATAATGCCAGGGCTGTTTTATGTGGTGCACAACAAACAGGAGGCCATAGTGCTTTTTAAGGTGCAACGTGTGCATCTCCATTGTTTTATGTCTTGTGTTTCCTCCTCCTGTCAGGGTCCATTTGTACACATCGCCAGTCTGTGTGCTGCTGTTCTCAGCAGGTTCATGTCTCTGTTTGGAGGAATTTATGAGGTAAGTATTGTTCTATTTGTTTTGTCAGTGCCCTTCCTCTCAAGTTTTTTCACTTTTCCTTCATTTTGCCCAACTGCTCAATTGATTTCACTGTGGTTTACTGTCAAGGACATGGTAATAAGGCAACAGAGCTCTCTGTAGTCAACATTCAAATACAACAGTGTCTGTCATAAAGCCTGGGAACCTATAAAGGAAAATAAAGAGATAGTAAAGCATTATAAAGAAAACCCAACAAACTTGGAGACAGTAGGAAGGAAAAACTCCCTTTAAGGGAAGAAACTTCTGACAGACCCTGTCTCTTGGTGAGCGGCCTTCTGCCTCCACCGATAGAGGAGATAGAAAAGAAAAGACAACAAGACACAACAACAAACAGTCAAAGTCAGGACAGGACCCTCCACAAACTGTTGCTTAATATGTCATGGTCTGCTGTTACTGTTAGACTTTCCCTTAGGGGGTACTCACACTTGGCCCTAGCAGAAAGTGTTGGTGTTCCATTCCCAGGTACGGTTAGTGATCACAGTGTGTGTGTGTGTGTGTGTGTGTGTACAATGCCCGAGTCAAACTGAACCCTGCCCAGGCCCACCTTTTCTAAGCTGGCCAAGTGGGGAGTGATCATACAAGTCAATTGAACTGGACTTTAGGGTCAGATGTTCTTGGGCACAGTACACATTGCCTAGTGTGAGTACACCCTTAAATGGAACTAAGGTGCTTTATCCAAACCATGCGTCCTCAGACTTTTGACCATATATTACATTTATTTTTAACTGGGCTGCATTTTGCACATATATATTTCAAGGCTGGCTGGAAGCACATTTAAAACCCACAGCTGCCTGAAAAATTACATCATTTTCTCTCATTTAAAAA